AGAATACTTGGTTCAATGCTTTTAAATGTCGCCGGAAGGAGCCTAACGCATGACGTGCTCAACAAGTTAATGGCAGACGTTTCAGCAATAGTGAACTCTTGGCCTCTGGTACCGGTATCGACAGATCCAGAGAATTCGTTAATCTTAAGTCCAGCTATGTTATTGACACAGAAGACCGATTATTAGTACATCTTCACTTCAGATCAGCTTGGAGAATTCGACAATCGCGATCCATGTTAAGCCAAATGGAGACGTGTACAGGCTCTGACCAGTGTTTTCTAGTAACGTTGGAGAAAAGAGTACCTGCCGTTACTACAACAACGACGAAAATGGACCGAAGATCGCCGTTATTTCATCGAATGAGACGTCATTCTTTTAAAATGACCAAAACCTTTGCCGTATTCAATGGCCAATAGGAATTATAGTGAACTCATTTCAAAGTTCCGACGAACATGTCCGGAAAGCAGAAGTTCGAATAATCGTAAATAGGGAAGCCACCACCTACACACGACAAATCGGGGACATGATTCTTCTCATTGAGAACGACTGAATTTTGTGTAAATAGTGATATCTTTTAGACATCAGACGGGGAGTATTCTTTTCACATTTAATGTGTATTATATGTATTCATAAACTTTCCAGAACAAATGGCACTGGGCCGATTTCTTATATCATCATATTTATTTTACTTCTTGACTGTCTTTAACTTCCGTATATGCTCCAGTATTTCAATACATGTTACATGGACGACATTTAATCTTCTGAGGAAATCGAGACATATCACTGTCAAGTAAATTTGATTCATTTATAAACTGTGATAATTAAATCCGTTAATTTGGATAAGTGACACTGGTAGTAACCTCGTCATATCGAGAAGCGTTTAGTACAGTGATTTTGTCATATTTGTTTAAGATTAACATGGTTGTGTTAAGTGTTTTTGATGACAAACAGTGTCAAAATATAAACATTCGAATAGTTTGTTAAAGGAACTAATAACAACAAATTCAAGCTGGTAAGTATCTTCGTTTATAGCTAATATGTTAGTACATCAAAATTTGTATCATATAGTTATTAGTTTGACACAAAATAATGCTTGCGTATGTCAAAATTTAAAAGTTGTGATTCGTTTTCGTAGAAAATGGTGGATTAAACCTGGTTTTATAGCCAGCTTAACCTCTCACATGTATGACAGTCGCATAAAATTCCATTATAATGACGACGATGTGTGAACAAAACAAACAGACATAAAAGGTAAAAATGTCAAAAAATAAGGGTACACCCCTACATCTACATCTACATAATACTTCTTAACTTCAATATGTTGAAGATTACAAGAAGGCACATACTAGGGAAAAAAATTTAAAATCTGAACATATTATACAATAACAGCAGGCAACATTGTGTTATAATCTTAGTCAATATAAAATAAAAACAAATATTTAAACAAAGAAAAACAAAAAGGCATATAGACAAAGCACATAAGCAAAAACGAAAGACAAGAATACAAAAATTTACCATAGCACAATAACACAATGACGGGATGTATTAGTACTGAGCCACGTCAAATGGATTGGGACAAAAATAGACTAAACAGTTAAAGTAATAATTTACAAAGACAAATAAAAGAGTACCATAACACGTCATTAAGGTGACAAACAACGTCAGTACTTAGAATCTTTACTTAAAGACCATCGTTTATTATTTGTGAAGTTGAAAAGGAATATTTACCAACAAGGTCTTCCGATGAACTTTTTTGGAAAAAGCACGAGACGTTCTTTGACATACTACTAGTTCATCAATTTTCTGCTCAGACACTGGTGACGGTTTACAAAGTCTGAGTAGCATCTGCAAGCTCTTGAATATCGAATGAGTTGGGAAATGTATATCCCATATGCAGGAGAAGTTGGTATATTGCTACTAAGGTTGGAGAAACTGATAATTTTAAAATTAAAATCGTCTCGTTTGTCATATATTCTGCTACTAAGATGACCGCCATGTCAAATTCGAGGTATTATAAGTCTAAAAATGAGGCAGAGGAAGCCGTGTCTGTTGTTCCTTTAATTTCTAGTTCTGGGGATATATTAATGGAATTCAATCAGAAAAGTCTTGATTGTTAATGGAAAGAAAGAACAATATATATGAATGTGAAATTAAATGATCTGGCTTCTTTGATCTTCTTGTTTTTTACAAATTTCTGAAGGAACTCCGACTAATATGTAGATAAAAAGAGGTCGCTGCCGCACAGGTCGCTCCCATAGAAATACCGACAATTTGGTGACAAAGTCTACCTCCAAATTCAACAAATATTTTGTCAATAAGAAACTCCAGCATACTGGTCACTTGTTCCTCTGTGTAGCATGTTTTTTTTTTGTTCACTATTAACAAAATATGCCGTATGGTATCCAAAAGTAATAAATGTATAGCGTGCGCTACCATTTTTATGTTGAAAAGCATTGTAGATTTAAATTATTTGTTTTAGACGATTTTTCAATTACCCATAGGGAATGGCGGTACACAGGGTTGAAAAATTAAACGTTTTGATAGAACTAATTTCAGAGAAACATCGAGATTTACATTTATTCAGAAGTTCTTTAAGAGTTTTAACCACTACACGAGTAAACAGTTTCACGGTATTTCTGAAAACCCTCTTTCATTGCGGAACGAATCTTTGTCAATCTAATGGACAATTCTGTCGTCGAACATGCAGATGAGCTGGCAATGTATGGCTGTTTGTATAGAATATCCAAATCAAACAAGGTAAGTCCTCCGATTTGCTGCTCAAAGTAATGTTCATTGAAGCTATTAAGGACTTATGAATCACCAAAATCTCATCCTTGTCAAATGAATTTTTTGTATGTGGGATCATAAGTTACATGAGTGCTCATTTATTGCTAATTCTTTTACAAGACACTCGTAGTAGTACGATTTGCATACAAAGACAAGTCACGAACAGTTAAATTGTTTAATGTACGCTTTGCCAATTACAGCATCTAATTTTGGTTTAAAAGGCTTTTTTTCTTCTTAGTCAGTTGTAAAATTGTGTAACTTCGTTTAATTACAAGCGTTTTTAAACAAAAAATCAATATTGAGCCGAAACACATATTTATTAATTTGGATCTAAACCATGACAAACTTTATCAAAACCATGACGAATTTCTAGACACTTAACCTAACCATGTCATAACTTAACCAAACCATAGCAATTTCGATAGTTTGCTTATTCTGCGTTAGTTTCTTCAAAACAACAATTGCAATGTAGATCGTTTGACTAACAATGCAAATTAAAACATCTTATTTACTTTTTATTTGCTCGTTTGAATAGAACTGAGGCAATCGTTCGGGGAAGTAACTTAACACAACCATGTTCATCTTAACCAAACTATGACAAAATCACTGTACTAAACGCTTCTCGATATGACGAGGTAACTACCTGTGAGTGATTTATTAAATGCATACGAACTGTAAGTTATTTATATCTGAGATTTGAACTGTAAATTCTACTTTCGTTTTTGGTTGATTGATTTATATGATATTTGCATTTAAACTTCAATATGTTCCATTCAAACACATTGTAAGTATTGCTTTTTTTTTATTTCATTTTACCAACACACTGACTACTGTAACCATTCTGGTGGAATATCATAATTACAATTTTTCAAAACAAGCTGTTTGATTTATATATTCGCCGAGATTGCGATTCAGTCACTTGGTTATGCCTACTGGTCCGGTCAGTACAGTCATTGTTAAATTCTTTGGCTTACAGAGAACCAACATATATTGGGAGGGTTATAGTTAAACTTCAGCACTTCCAATATTGGTTCAAGTTCTGACTCTTCTTCCTAACCCCCCAGAAGGAGTTCTGAAGGAGATTCAGAACCTATTTTTCATTTTTTCATGGAAAGGAAAACCAGATAAACATAAGAACAAACAATAAAAATCAGTTGAAAAGGGCTTAACTCATCGATACAAAACAGAAAACAATCTTACAAAAAATACAAACCGGACGTGACAGGGTATATATATATATATATATATACATCCCCACAACAGAAAAGCACAGATCTGAGTGTACTCGCAGTTATTGACAGCTAGTTCAAAGCCAATAACAACTAATAAAAAATCATGCTTCTAATGCTAAAATATCAAACAGTACACATCCAACATCCAATGTATTTAGTGTAAAGATGTCATTAACATTAAATTTGTACAATGCCAAGATACAGGTATCGACAGATTGTAGTGCCATGAATGTACATATGTATATAAAAATAATATTATTTTACCTTTTATAATAAGTTTATTTAATAGATTGATAAGTTTACCCGGATCGTATCTAAATTTCAGGGCTCGGTAAACAACATCTCCGTGAAAATTAGAATGTGCTATCCCGTTTGAAATAAGTTTTCAAATGGTACAGCCAACCTTCCAAACCAAATCTTTGTATCTATGGAGGAATGTGTAAGTAAAGGTTTTAAGTAATTTAACGAAATCCCTGACTTAATAGTTCACAATTAACAAATAGATTACGTTCATTGAAATCCAAAACGTCACAGCAGACACGGGCATTGCGAACGAGTTGTGAAATATTAACACCGTGTGTATGTTTTGATATGCATGCTTTTGTTTTGTCTGTTTTACGACTCTCCACGGCTTTCGTATTGACTATAAACGTAGGTTAAAAATAAATGTCTATTGTCTTATTACGTTATATACATTCCGGTTTCAACTCCGGAAATAATTATCATTGTATGATTAGACAATACATGCAATATGTTATTGGTCCTTAAAATTTTAAGCGAGAAACTATTAAAATACGGAAATTTTTTATTAAAAAGTCGGAAGTGATTTATTGATCATCTATTAGTTTAAACATATTTTATTGTTCAAAAAGCACAAACGGATTATACACAAGTTTTTCAACTTAGTAACGACATCTCCGTGATCTATATTAAGTTATTAAATACAATAATCAACAATTGAACACTATTAGATATAATTCGAACTGTTAATAAAACATATCTCAAAGAGTCACAGAACGTGGTGAAAAAAATGACATTTAAGCAGATATACTAGTTTCGTTCAATAAAATTAAGGCCTTGTAAAGAAAGAAAATTCAGTAATTAACTGGATTGTTGAATAAAAATGTACGCCTTGAGAGGAAAGAAAATTCAGAAATTACTAGGATAATGTAAAATGCAATAGACATCAATGTTCATGTTGTTCAACAGTTGTGGAACAGCCATCTCAAAAAAACACTATACGTTCACTGTACGTGTTATTAATCAGATATTTGAACAGCCATATCAAAGAAACACTATACGTTCACTGTACATGTTATCAATCAGATATTTGAACAGCTATCTGAAAGAAACACCATACGTTCATTGTACATGTTGTTATGTGCACATGTTGTTAATCAGATATTGGAAACACGATCAATAATAAACAATAGACGTTTATTGTACATGGTGATAGTGTAAAACAGATATTGGAACTGACTTTAAACAAAACTATAATTCATTGATATTAGGATAAATATGACGAGAGTAAGTAAGCTTATAGAATGATGAGAAATATCTTTAGTAAATGCAGCTACAAATTGATGAAAATTTTACATTTATAACAGTTTTAAAGATTCAGAATTTTAATTGTTCATTTGATATGTTTTGTCTGAAATTTGGGCAACAGTTTTAATTCTGAAAATGCGATAACTTTCGTTCCCCCAGTGTTATTTAACCAATGTTTCTGTTTCACCGTGGCGAAGCTTCAAAGTCACGTCTTAGGGAAAGTCCATTTGATTTTCGCGAGGGGAGAGGGGTTGAAAATAGATAATTTGACCTGGTAAGAACTGAAAATTAAAAAAAATGCACAAGACAGGGTGTAAACGAATATTCTGCAACACAAAATGCAGGATTCAAATGTATAAAACAGTGAAAATAAATGTTCGCGCGGCAAGAAGAAAATCTACCGTCATTATACTGGATACCAAAACTTCACAAAACTCCTTATAAAGAACGATACATTAAAACTTTTGATTTTTCTACGCTTTACACTACTATTCCCCATGCTCAGTTAAAAGATCGACTTCACCATCTCATTAAACAGAGCTTTTTCTATAAAAATGGGAATCGTAGATATAAATTTCTTGTTTTGGGTTATAATAATTCTTATTTTGTGAAGAACCACACAGATTCTACCAGAAAATATACTGAAGATGATATTATCAAAATACTGGAATTTTTGATCAACAATATATTTGTTGAGTTTGGAGGATTGATATTTCAACAGACAGTCGGTATTCCAATATGGGTACCGATTGTGCACCTCTACTGGTCGATTGTTTTTGTACTCGTATGAAGCAGAATTCATTCAAAACCTTCTAAAATACAAAAAGAAAATCCACCTTGGGAAATTCTTTAATTTTACTTTCAGATGTATTGATGATGTCCTATCACTGAATAACCCATATTTCAGACAGTACTTACATCTCATATATCCCAGTGAAATTGAAATTAAGGATACTACTGATACTAGAAGGACACCTACATACCTTGATCTTTTCCTCAATATTGACACAGATGGACGACTTCACACTAAAATCTATGACAAACGGGACGATTTCAACTTCCCAATTATCAATTTCCCATTTGTCAGCTGTAACATACCCTCTGCCCAATCGTATGGTGTTTACATATCCCAGTTGATACGTTATGCTCGTGCATGTTCACACTATACGGACTTCATATACAGGAGTGTGCTCCTTACACAGAAACTGCTCCAACAGAGATTAGGAGGAAAGATTAAAAATGACACTCCGTAAATTTTATGGACACCATCACGAATTTATCTATACAATGTGTCTGTGTCTAAACTAACTAACGACATTTTCACCACGTCTAAGATTGTGGTTTACCATCTACATTGTCTGGTCTTCTAAGTACCGAACGTGATCTATTCCCGAATATAACTGTTTTGCTGAGTGTAAATTCGCATTTCTATTAGACGTGTCTCGGTATTTGTACATCCAACATTCATGTATTTAGTAATTCTGGTTAGATGTTGTTTTATATCTTATCGTTTGTGGTTTTAATTCTATTTTTATTTTCTATATGTATGTAAAAGTAAAGATACTAATCACCTAGTTCATTTATGTGATTTTTAGTTTAAAGCATCTATATGCACAGGATTTATTTGTTTTTACACAGTTTAATTTAGAAGAAAACCCGACATGGTTATAAAATAATTACACCATTACTGACACAATTCTATATTAATATGCTTGTAATGGTTAGAAAATACATCTACATCAAATAACACCATTACAAACTTAATCCCAATTTTATATTCTATTTTTAGTAATTTACTTGTGACGTCACTTTTTGTGGCGTTGATACATTCGTGTGACGCACAGTTCATTATTCTATTGTGCTGTATTTGTGTTCTGTCGTAAATTAATTTTAGGTGTTTGTTGTTATTCTGTGGTTTACATGTTGAAATGTACTATTATATTATTTATTTATGTATTTCTCTGTCCTGAATGTTCTTGCATTTGTTTGTGCGATATTCCTGTCACGTAATGTTGTCATTTTAGCGGTATTTTTAACATTTCCATATAAGCGGGAAGTTTGGTTAGCCATAAAACCAGGTTCAACCAACCATTTTTTTCTTAAAATGTCCTGTACAAAGTCAGGAATATGGCAGTTGTTATCACATAGTCCGTTTCTATGTATGTTGGCGTTCGTTTTTGTAGCAGTTCAGGGTTTCTGTTGTTCCGTTTTGTTTCATCTAATAGATGATGTGTTTCCCTCAGTTTTTGGTTTATTGACCCGGATTTGTTTTAGTTATATCGATTTATGACTATTGAACAGGGTATACTACTATTGCCTTTATTTGTTACACATTGTCGTCAATATGATGGTTTTTATGCGACTTTCATACAAGTGAGAGGTTTAGCTAGCTATAAAACCAGGTTTAATCCACCATTTTCTACATAAGGAAACGTCTTTACCAAGTCAGAAATATAAGAGTTCCATTCGTTAGATGTTTTTGAGCTTCTGATTTTGTCATTTTATAAGGAACTTTCCGGTATGAATTTTCCTTGGAGTTCGGTATTTTTGTTATTTTAGTTTTCTATTCACATGACATGTTATAACATGTTTTGAGACGAATGGTGTCACCATTGACGTTGTTTCGGCGTTTCATGCCAACAGATGCATGAATTTATAAATGTTTGCTGTATGAAATTTCTAGTCAAGAATATGACAGTTGTTTTCCATTCGTTTGATAAGTTTGAGCTTTAGGTATTGCTATTTGATAAGGGACTCTCTGTTTTGAATTTCCCTTGGAGTTCGGTATTTTTGTTATTTTACTTTTTCTATGTAGTACAACACCAGAATTAAGTATAGGACGGCATGGTTTATCATCAGGAGTTTAAGTACTCCGAGTCTGCTTTCAGTAACTTCGAACATTTTTATACGAATTTATAATCACCGAAATACACATTAATGAAGTTTTTTTAAAGTCATTTTTTATGTGTCTCATTTATATTCTATTAAGTAATTCTTTCCCTCAGTTTTGTTCTGTTGTATTTGTCTAATAGTCAACTTTATATTTTCACCTTCTTTCCTTGCTTGTCCAATTATTTTGAATTAAGTATATTATACTCTATTCGGCATAATGTTTTATTCATTTTGTGTTTTGTTACCTACAGTGTTTTAAAGTTTTGTGCTTTTCCTGTACTTTAGTTTTTCTTGTATATTTCTTGTTGTACGTTTTTTGAAATCTACTGATCAAGATGAAAAAAGTAGGATTAATATTTAAAATAGAATTAGGTTAACCACGTCACATTTCATGTTTTTATTTTAGTGAATAAAAGAGTGGACATGTTTTGGTTGCCAATGAAACAACTTCCGTCCTCGTTTGCTTATCGATATATATATTAGAGGTGTACAGAATTTTTTTGTTTCCTGAACAATTGGTTATTTCTATTTTTTTTTTAATTTTCGAATTCAAAGAACCAAAAAGTGTGACTTTCTCTCTTGTATGAATAAAGTTGATGTGCGATATACGTAGATGAGACAGCAATACAGCGACACACAAAAATGAAAACCTTTTGGAGTCAGTCTACAAGTAAAGTATCTACACAATATGTCATTATATATTGGTAAATTATAACTATTACTATTACTCACGAGTGTAGAAAAGTTCGTTGTAAATAAACTTGAAAGGGATTCCCCCTTTTGACAAAAACGTTGAATATGAGTTAGGACATCCACTGTCGAGGATACTGTCCACAATGGTGTTATATAATAAAGTATCTTTTAATGTATCATTAGAATACATTTGGTTGTTTAGAGGAGTTGCGATATAAACTGCCTACATATGTTTATCATGTTTCAAGGTAGGAGCAAGTCAATGTTTTAATCCCCCCTCCGACGGGCGGATCGACGATAGAACACACTAACGTACGAACATTAGGCCGAATGGACGCAACACTCACTGCAGACTTTCGCTTTCCTAACGGGGATGCATAATAATACCGTATAGTGATGAATACTTGCAGTCGAGTTAATGAAAGAAACCTTAAAACACTAAACAGCCGATATGAAATGATGCAGTCATACGCTCTTATTTAACAGTTTCAATAGAACAAGGAAAGGTTCAAAACAAATCCGGAATCATCAAAACTCGACAGTAAATTATTTGAACTTTTAAACAATAAGTAGCCACGATTACGGCTTATTATGTTGACTATAATTGATGTACATATAACACGTAAATGCTTAGAAAAATCTTAATTCTTAAACAAAACAAAATTTACAGACCTTTTGTTTAATTTCAGCGATTAGGCAGCAGTCTCCTTCTTTTGGTGATAGCTAGATGTACCATTGGATTGAATTGTCCCCTGTTCATTTGCTATTGCAAACCAAGAAATACAGCACGTTGTATGAACCATGGAACAAATCTGACTTACATTCCACGTCTTCCTAATGATGTTAAAATTCTAACGTTCGTCAACAATTACCTCCCGAACATAACAAGACTTACATTTGAAAACTTATCAGCCGAATATATCACTCAGCTAAACCTATCACAAAATCATATCAAAACAATTTCTAGGGATGCTTTTGTTGATTTCAAATCATTTTATGTTTTAGATCTAAGTTCAAATATAGCAATTATTCTCGATTCTCTGTATGAAGCATTTGTAAATGTGAACTTTGTACAACAAGGGTCGCTTTATTTAAGCAATATAACCAGGAAAGGCTTTCGGACAGATATTTTCAAAACCTTAGAGCATGGAAAAATAAACAAAATTGTCCTACAAAATAATAATATATTACGAATTGACGGATCATCTTTTAAAAATTTAAAGTATTTGAATACATTAGATGTCTCGAACAATGATATAGTATATGAAAACTTATTTGGTTTACGTAAGCTTACTCGACTTTTCATTAGTAACAATAATTTGCACAGTGTCCCAAGCTTCTGTGCATCGAATGGGTCGTCTCTTGTCCCAAACTTAAGAAAGCTAAGTATGAACAATAATAGAATAAAAGTCCTGAAATCTAAGGATTTCCTTTGTGTGAAGCGGCTAGATAATTTAAATATGTTAAAAAATCCATTTCGAGAAATACAGGACAACGTCTTTTCTTCCTTAAGAAAATTACGTAGATTACGTATCCTGCCAATTGGAAATAGTCTCAAACGTATACAAAGTTATGCCTTTAACATGTCAAATGTTAACTCAATAAATTTAGCCGATGCACATTTTAAATTTAAGTCCAAAAGTTTCAATGCCGATAACATATTTCGTTTTTGCCCTCGTCTGTATGCATTGATTTTATCGTACAATTGTATACCTTCAAATACAGCAACGGCAATGAAGATGTTTGGCCTTCTTCATCAATTGAGACAATTAACACTACAATCTGTTGGATGGGAAGTAATACCGGAAAACTTATTCCATCGGCTAACAAGCTTGAAAGTACTCGAGTTAGAGAGCAATGATTTATTTTCATTATCCTTTAACAATCCTTTCCTGGGAGTAAACAGCTTACTACATCTTGGAGTTGGTGGAAACAAACTAAATACTTTTAATAAGTCGTCTTTGCCAGAGAATATTTTTAACACCTTGAAGACCTTAAATTTAGCAAGAAATCCGTTCACCTGCAATTGTGATTTAACGTGGTTTGTTCATTGGTTAAACGATACAAAAATAGTAATGCGAGAGTATCCATCTAATTATTATTGTGTTACACCCGGAGTTTGGAAAGGGAAACAACTCAATACATTTAGCCAAGATTGTTCATATAAAAGAGTAAAGATTACACTTATCGTAGTTTTGTGTGTTACTGTTGGTGTGGTATTTATAATAGCCCTGATAGTTATATTCAAAATACGATGGCATATTCGGTATTGGATATATCTTCTGAGCGCGAAACGTAGAGGTTATAGCAGGATGGATTCCAATGAGTATATGTATGATGGATTTGTAGTGTACTGTGATACTGATAGAGAATGGGTACATCAAAAGTTAGTCCCATTTCTCGAAGTTGAACATGGATACAAATTATGTATTCATTACAGAGATTTCCATGTTGGTAAATTGATAGTGGATAATATTTTAGAAAATATGGAGGAAAGTAGGAAAATAATTCTGGTAATGTCAAATGCTTTCTCCAGAAGTAAGTGGTGTCAGTTTGAGGTTCTATTGGCGAATGACAGATGTTTAAATCATGACAGTGAAACGATAGTAACAATTCTTTTAGAAGATGTAAATAGTCGGTACTTTACCAATGTACTTAAACTAATTCTGACGTCCACAACTTATGCTGTGTGGACTGATGATGAAATCGGACAACGGTTGTTCTGGAACCAGATTCTTAGTTCATTTAAAAGAAATCTTGTCCCCAGACTACAATAAAGAAGAAATATAAACAATGACAATTGAACAGCGGTATACTACTGTTGCCTTTATAATACACAAGATAAGATAAGATTTTGTTTTATTTCCAATAGAGAACCCATTATGGACAAAATCAGTAGAATGATTAGCACATAAAACATTTACAATACAGACAACACAAAACAAGAGTCTCATGAGAGCCTGATATCGCTCACCTGTTATTTTAGTTTCAGGCATTTGACTTATTTGTAGATCTTACTTTGCTGAACAATTCTGTCATTTACACTTTGTCTCTTTCTGTAATAATATTAAAGATAATACATAACCCAAAACTGTAAAATTTCCTAAAAATTAACTATTTCTGAATATTGGTCGGAAGATTAGATCTAAACCTTAATTGTTTACCACTTTCACCTATGTCAGTTTTGCTCTTACTGCTTTAGTTTTTGAAATGAAAGCCAAAAAACTTCATTTGACCCCTTTGTTCTATTTTTAGAAACTGCCGCCATGTTTTTGAAAGGATCAAACCCCCGAATACAATATCTATAAACTAGATACCCTAAGAAACATTCAGTTAAAGCTTAGAAGTATTTGGCCCAGTATTTTCAGAGAAGAAGATTTTTGAAAAAGTAATAGACTTGCACGAAAAAATGTAAAATAAAATAAACGTTTCAAGGGCAATAACTCCTTAAGGAATCAATTGACTATTTTAATCATTTGACTTATTTGTAGATCCTACTTAGCTGAACATTTTTGCCATTACACTTTCTCTCTATCTAATATAATTTTAAAGATAATAACCAAAAACAGTAAAATTTCATGAAAATAAAATATTTCGGACAGTAACCCTACAATGGGTAGTCCAATTGGTCTGAAAATTTCATAGCAGATAGATCTTGACTTATTCGTCACTTTAACTCAGTAACTTTTGCTCTAACTGCTATAGTTTATGAGATAAAAGCCAAAAACGGCATTTGACCCCTATGTTCTATTTTTAGCCATGGCGTCCATGTTTGTTGATGGATCAAAACTTCGGATATAAGTTATAAACCAGTTATCCTAAGGAACATTGAGTTAAAGTTTAGAAGTATTAGGCCTAGTAGTTTCAGAAGAGAAGATTTAGCAAACATGATGAACAAATTGTGTAAAATTGTCTTTAAAGGACAAGAACTCCTTAGGGGTCAATTGACAATTTTGATCATATTAACTGTTTTGTAGATCTTACTTTGCTGAACATTTTTGCTGTTTACAGTTTATCTTTATCTTCAATAATTTTCAAGATTATAACCAAAAACTGCAAAATTTCCTTAAAATTACCAATTTAGTGGCAGCAACCCAACAATGGGTTGTTCGATTCATCTGAAAATTTCAGGGCTAATAGATTTTGACCTATTGAACATTTTTATCTTATCACATTTGCTCTAAATGCTTAAGTTTTTGAGATATAAGCCAAAAACTGCATTTGACCCCTAAGTTCTATTTTTATCCATGGCGGCCATGTTTGTTGATGGATCAAAACTTCGGATACAATTTATAATTTAGATACCCTAAGGAACATTCAGTTAAAGTTTGAAGGTATTTGGCCCAGTAGTTTCAGAGGAGAAGATTCTTGAAATAGTTTACGACGACGACGACGGACACCAAGTGATGGCATAAGCTCACATGGGGCCCTTCGGGCCCGGTTAGCTAAAAAGTAAACAAACAGCTCAAATATGGAATACAATATGAGTTAATTATGTAACCATTAAACTCATAATGCTCAGTGTTTGTTGACATGCACCAGAAGCAGCGTCACATCCATAGTTGTATCATTGTCAACATCTTCTTATTTTCATATATCATGAGTTAAGTTCACCTCGTGGCTGATGCAGTTGGGACAAATTTTATAGTTATCTAAATGCAGAAGTCACATAGGGCGGCTTCTTAAAGGACACTCCAACAAATGAAATAGATACGAATATTTAAGCACTTTTAATATAATGCATTAACACATTAATGTTAAAAAATTATTAAAGTCCTCATCGTGGCTGATGCACATGGACAATAATTTTTAACTTGAATGAAATAATTCATAGATTATCCTAATTTGACAATGGCGCAACCATCTATTAGAAAACTTTACTAATTAATCGATATATCTTTATATAAACATTATGAAATAACACTTACAGTACAAACTTTAGTGCAACAGATGCGTATTTCGAAAATAAGTGTCTATTCAGTGATGCTCAATAAAGATTATTATGATGATTAGTAGAAGACGCTTGCCCTGTCGACGCACCCAGTCTCGCTTCTTTTGGGGTTCATGCGATTCCCTTAGTTATTTTAGATACGCAGAGACAGGTAAACGGGTATTTGCGACAGTAAAACTACCGATGGACTTCCACAAAGCTTCAAATACAATACAGTTATCTCTATTCTAATGCAAAATAAACAAATCATTCAATTTTAGTCATTATTTCTGTGTGAAATTTTCATTAAACAAAAATTCCGCGAAATGATGTTATCTTCTTTGGCGCCTAAACTAGGTGACGTCATAGGTGTGCTTCCAGCATCAAACTTAAACACCGGGCTTTTTCTGGCTTCTTGTCCGCTTCAAAATGTAATAAAAATTGATGAAAAGAAGATTTTTTTTTGCTTATTATTGGAGAAATTACATGTCGATATATTCCGAAATTCAAAATGTCGGCTTCCTTAGTTACAGACAGGGAGATTGAGAATTTTACGCTTGTCGTCATCCAATCAGAGTCATTGATACAAACTAATTGCATTTAAGGAATGACTGTAATATTTTTTCTGTCTATGAAGAAATAACATAAAAAATGTGGTGCACACTGAATAACGAGCGTAGCGGGTTATTTTAAAGTGTGCACCACATTTTTTATGTTATTTCGAATAGACAGAAAAAATATAACAGTCATTTCTTATAATTTAATTCTAAATTCCATTTTAAACCGGAGTAAACCATGAAAAAACGTTGATGACGTCACGATCAGATGACAAAATTATGTCTTTGAGCTGATAAACAAAACAACGTCAGCAAATCAGAAGACGCGTTACATCCAAAATTAAATAATTAGAATATATGTTACCTTGTATCTCCTTTATCGATTCATGAGGTTTGAACATCGGTAGGCCAAATGTTATAATAAATGTTGGCTAAATGTTTATGCAAGTTACTATGCGGGACGATAAATGTCTCTTGTCTAAATCTTAGACATTTAAGGAATGACTGTAATATTTTTTCTTTCTATGAAGAAATAACATAAAAAATGTGGTGCACACAGAATAACCCGCGTAGCGGTTTATTTTAAAGTGTGCACCACATTTTTTATGTTATTTCGAATAGACAGAAAAAATATATCAGTCATTTCTTATAATTTAATTCTAAATTCCATTTTAAACCGGAGTAAACCATGAAAAAACGTTGATGATGTCACGGTCACATTACAAAATTATGTCTATGAGATGATAAACAAAACAACGTCAGCCAATCAGAAGACGCGTTACATCCAAAATTAAATTATTACCATATACACAAAAAAACAACATCGGTACACGAAATTCCTACAACACTAAAACTTTGACGATTGAAAAGTTTTAATTAAAACATATCCAGAAATCAACGCCACTTTGCTTATTTGAATATTATACTAAAGAAATCGGATACGGGTCACGAAAAATTATATTGAAATGATAGGGAATTTTGAAAAAAATGTATGTTTTAACTTTAATTTAAGTGATAGACAGTTTGCGGGGACAGAAAATAAATATACACAACAATATACACCATTTAAACGAAACACAATGACTGTCGTTGCAAAAATCAAGGTTCCTGAGCTATTTTAAAAATCGAAGCGAGAGGCTTTTAACATTGCAGTATAAAATACAGGCTAAAATGGCTGAAACGTCAAATTTGCAAACTTCGTGTTGAAAATTGGTTAACAGGGTCATTACAAAAACAGGTTGCGGGGATGAAACTTGAAACTTGAATGTCCAAAGAATAAGCAAGTCCAAACCTTGTATGTGTAGTCGTTGAACTCTAGGTTCCCACGTAAAGTTAAAATGCCCCTATTTCAAGAAGAATAAACTCACGAAAACACGAAAAATTCACTAAATTCGAATTCATTGTTTTGATTTTGACCGCCTGACAACTTTACGGAAATATCAGAGTGATTATAAACAAGGACTCTGTGACGGGCAACTTATAATATCCATGTTTTAAAGATTTTAATGTTATCAAGCCAGTCCAGTTCAAACTATTATCACGTGGTACAATTCTCATTTACATATTATGAATATTAATTAGCAAAAGTACTTCTAATTTCTGGCTATGACGAGACTTTTACCGATGACAACAACAACACAGTCATTGACATATAAAGAAGCACATACTACAAAAATTGAAATTAAAAAAGCTAGTTCTGCAAATCTTTATCAAATGTTGACTTTTTATTAGAATCCACAAACCATTAAAAATGTATATAAAGAACATCATTTTATTGCCGAAACCATTATCGGATTGAAGAAAAATAACTGACTTTGTTCTGTTGTTCAAGAATAACCCTAAAAGTCCTAAATATATATTGCATTTTTGTGATTGAAAACATTTTTTTATAGGTAACATGCAAATTTTTACACAAGCTATTACACTCCAATTGTAAACTTTGTATGCCTTTATATATCAAAATAACTTAGTGAAATTAGTTCACATGGTTGACTGTAAAAAGAAAACAATTGTTATTTTAGTTTTGAATTGTAACGTTTATCCGAATGACGTCATCAAAACTGATGCTATTTGTGACGTTTTTGCGTATAAAAGTAGCAGGTACTTGAAATTACTGATAACGTTTTGCAGTAAAACCATTGCATTTTGACCGATTTTCAAAATGTTTAGTGTTGCAGATTGCAAATCGTTCTATATCTGCTATCACAGTTTGATTTCTGTAAATATATATTTGATAAAAACTGTTTGTTCAAATTTAGAAGGCTATAGCTCGGCAGATAAAGTCGATCGAATTCGGGAAAATCTCTTTTTGAATGCGCTATTTAACTAACATATTTCTTGAGAAATTTACCCATTTGCTGTTG